TCCACTATCCTTCACATTTCCAAACACTGAACCTGACTTCAACAGACTTGTTCAAGCACAAAACAGCCTATATTTCTTTCATTGAACAAGAAGAATTGAAATTGCAGGGGAATTCAACTACAAACACAATAGCAAAAGTACTTTATACAAAGTCGTACGATTTTGTTTTCAGGTATGTGATAAAGTGTTTTTTACTATGCCATTTCTTATTTTCATTGTATAACTGTAACATCTACACCTCATTTAATTGTTTTTCTTTATTTTCATGACTATTTACATTGTAGATTCTCACTGAAGGCATCAAAACTATAAATGAACACATATGGAATTATGTAATAAACAAAAAGTGTGAAATAACTCAAAATATGTTTTAGATTTTTGATTTTTTCAAAATAGCCACCCTTTGCTTTGATTACTGCTTTGCACACTCTTGGCATTCTCTCTTGGCATGAGTTTCATGAGGCAGTCACCTGAACTGGTTTTGCAACAGTCTTGAAGGAGTTCCCAGAGTTATTGAGCACTTGTTTTTTGTTTTTTTTTTGCCTTCACTCTACGGTAGGGATAGGTATCGAAAATCGGTTCTTGTTGAGAACCGGTTCCCACTGTTTCAATTCCTTGGAATTGTTTGCCATTTTTGCAAACGATTCCCTTATCGATTCCAGTCGTCCCGAATGACGTCACCACATTGCGGAGCGTCATTTACCTGGCAGGAAACATAGCGGCTCAAACGCTCAAAAGTTTGGTTATACTTTAGAACTGATGACAACAGGGCAACTTGCAATACTTGCAAAGTAGATATTTCATTTAAGGGAGGAAACACTACGAATATGCAAAAGCATTTGCTCACATGTCGTGTTTTTAATTCCGCTCTGGACTCGTGAATATCAACCCAGCAGCAGCGGTAACGTTTGCACGTCTTCTCCCGTTAATGCGGCAGGTAAATAATCAACTAACAGTGAATATTATGTTAGCACGATCTGCCTTATTACAACCTGTATGGCCTTACAACCTAATGGCATTAAAACCTGCCATTACTTTGCGTTGCATTTAGGTGACCATGATGAGAGAGACAGACAGAGTCTGGCTGACTCAGATGCTGGCAGTTCTCGCTGCAGTCTACCGTTAGCGTCTTCTTTCAGGCCAGGATAGACAAATGTCACCGAGCAGTGACTCAGTTTGTGGTAAAAGGCTTGCACCCATTTGCCACAGCAGATGCCCCGATTTTCGGTAAGTGAGTTTGTTTAATTGTAGGCAGGAACATTACTGGATATTCTTGTGTAATTGCTACTGAATAATTCATGTTATAATTTGTTATTGCTACAGAAGAATATTTATTTTATTATTTTACATTTACAATTTTTTTCCTGGGGATCTTGTGACACCCCATTGAAGAGCCGTAGGCTGGATCTCTTAAGATCTCACTGTTGGGTTTGTAAGGCCATGTTACTCCTAAATTTCTATCTCGTTCAAAGAGAAGATATAAAACAAAGTTCTAAGCTAATCGACCTTAGTGTTCTTCTTTTTTAAAAAGAATCAATAAAGAATCGAATCGTTAAACAGAATCGAAAATGGAATCAGAATCGTGAAAATCTTATCAATACCCATCCCTACTCTACGGTCCATCTCATCCCAAACCATCTTGATTGGGTTTATGTCAGGTGACTGTGGAGGCCAGGCCATGTGTGTTTGGGGTCATTGTACTGTTGAAAAATAAATGATGGTCCAACTAAACACAAACCGGAATGGAGTGGCATGTATCTGGGCTCTAATCTGAGGTGCTGGTGACTCAGATGAATTTATACTTAGCAGCAGAGCTCACTCTTCCTGGGGCGCTTGATGGTTTTTGGGTACACATTCAAAGTTTTAGCAGTTTTCTGGACTGACTGACCTTCAGTTCTTAAAGTAATGTTAGATTCTTACTTCTCTTTACTTAGCTGATTGGTTCTTGCCATAATATGAATTCTAACGGTTGTCAAAAGGGGCTCTCAGCTGTGTACAAACCTGACTTCTACACAACAAAACTGATGGTCCCAACCCCATTAAGAAGGAAAGAAACGCCACAGATGAAGCCTGCTAAGGCACACCTGTGAAGTGAAAACCATTTCAGGTGACTACATCACTGAGAGAAGGCCAGGGGTTTGCAGCACTCTCAACAAAGCTAAAGGTGGCTACTTTTGAGTAATCTAAAATATAAGACATTATTTTTATTTGTTACATAACTGCGATATCTTGCTTCATATAGTCGATATCTTCAGTTTGTATCTACAATGTAGAAAGTAGTAAAAATAAGGAAAAACCATTAAATAAGAAGGTGTGTGCAAACTTTTGACTGGTAGGGACACACACACACACACACACACACACACACACACACACAAATGCTTATTTGGCTATCTTTGTGTAACCTCTGCTCCCAAACTGTAACCACCAGGTTAAGCCAAACCTTCGTCTGAACCTAAACCTAATTCTAAATTTAATCCAAAAACAAACTCTTAACCTTCAAACAGGCTGAAAATGTCATCATTCTGAAACAACAACAGAATCTCACAAAGGTAGCACCCTGTTTTTTTATATGCTTTTATTGTAACTGTCTGTTACTTTATTTAGTCACTCATGTCGCTTTATGGATTGGTTCTAAAAAACAAACAAACCACAACATCTGCATTTTAAAAGCAATCACACCCAAACACATTCAGTGTATTCTACAACTAGTTCTCTTTTCAAACTTGCCTGCATGTGGCCTGCAGGCCAAATGTAGGGTAAATGTAAATACAGCCGGACCAATATATCACCACTTTTGTTATAGGCAAATATTTTACTGTCTGCATTTGTATGTGTTTATAGCAGCCAGTAAATGAAAAGTAAGCAAGAGAAGGGAAAACACCCTTCATCTGTGTTAGAGGGCTGATGTTGCATACTTTGACCACCAGAGGGACTCTGATCCGAGGAGAGTGTGGCACAGTGTAAACAAGTAATCCACAACTTGATGTGACAATAAAACCTATTTTTAGAATCCGCTGTCATATTATCTTAGTAAGGACTCATAAGTAGCTACACACAACAAATGTTCTGGAAATCGGTTTATACTTCATAGGTAAGAAACAAAAAAATATCACCCGATATCAGATTTTTAAATGAACAAATAATGGTATTTGTCTCAAAAATCCTGTATCGGTTGGGCTCTATCTGTAAGCTGCAGCTAGAAATAAGTAACCTCGGTCACTCCCTCCGAGAATGGGAATTGCACCAGTTTATGAAAGGTTAAAATTGGGGACGTTGCTGCACTAAAGCGATGCGTAGGACTAAGTTTGTGAATGTCAAATGCGGCAGTGGGAATTTCGCATCCTTTTTGCCCTACCTGCAGTGGTGTGCTCGGTCAGGCTTGATGCTGCAGCACTTGGGACATTTGTAGACCACCTGTCCTGGTTTCAGTTGAAGGCTTTCTATGTATTCCTTAGTGGCGTTTCCTTTTGGCACGGCCCCCTAGCAGGAAACATGTACATACAGTAGATGACCTCAGTTATATGTGCAGCTCATTAATCACCATAATGGTCATTTTATTAAATGTCTGCTACATTAATCAGAACTTTATAAAGCTAAAGAGCATTAAGTGTCAGCATGACATTGAGAATTAAAACAATTTGCATGCATGAATAATCCAATGCAACCTGACTTACAGGGTCAGTGCACATGGCCCTGAGGTGAGAGGCGAGGGCAAGGAAGGCCAGAGTGTTGAACAGAGTCCCGTTCACAATACTGTACATCAGGTTCTTGGAGGGCAACAGCATCACAAACAACACCACAAACTCAGCGTACAAGACCAGCAGCCAGGTGATGATGGCACACACAATGCCGCAGGCATCCCTGATGAACCACATGGCCGAGGCAGAGGAGGAAGTGATGACGTCTTTGGAGATGGGGATGCGCTGTTCCTCCTGTAGGCAGCTGGTTCCTCCCCCAGCCCCGGACTGTCCACGGCTATGCTCCACATCCCTACATCTGTGCACCGGGCTCTTCATCCTTCATCTAAGCTGGATTCCTGCTCCTGCTGCCACCAATGGACCCACAGCGCCTTCAGGCCTCCGCCTCAGTCACCGCATGCTAAGAAGTGAGGATGGTTCAAAGATTAGGTACACGAGCTGAAGGTTTAAAAAAAACAAACAAACACACAAAGAACAAAAACTCAAAAAATTTAGCCGCCAGCTGTCAGGTCAGTTTTATAATGCAGGCAGTGACTGGTTCAGTCTTTCACAGTGACTGTTTTTTTTGTATATCTTCTTCATTTTTTTTATTTTGATATTATATAAAACTAACTCCACATCTTATTTAAAGTTCATTTGTAAGTTTTCCATAATGCTACAATGATTAAATGATCTCAGATGTCTAAGGCACTGTGGTGGTGGTTGCACCCTTTTGTACAGCTCTGAAATACTTTTTTTTTTCCACAATCTGTCATGATGATCTAAACAATTTGTGAAATGAACAGAACCTCTAAACATCATCTTAAATACGCATTTTGTTAAATTAACTTGTATTTGGGAAAATTACAAGTTAACTTTTTCAAACTATGACTTCTTCACCATTACTTCTACTGCTGCAGGATGCATTACAAAACTGATATTGAGTATTTTCCTGGATATCAGAATCAAGTTTCAAATTCTAATATCGTGAAAACCCTAGTATCTATCTCCTCTTCTTTACTTTATGAAATTTGATGTATCAGCTTACATAAATGCCAATAGTGATAACTCAGCAAATAGCCAATATCAGCTTGTTATTAACTTTTTTGAGCTCTAACAATTAGAAAATATTACACATATACTAAAAATTCTATTTCTCCAAAAATCAGATCACTACCGAGGCCTTGATATTTTCCTTTACATTTCTAACCATTAAAACCTAGTGTATGCGCAATTTGGTGTTATCAACTAATCACTGAACAATGAAATGTGAGCTTTGCACATGTGCAGTGTTACACCTGGAATGACACAGCAGATTTTTGACAAAACCTTGTGTCACAAGAAATGTCGGTTGAAACCGAACTTTCTTGTTTGCGGTGACTGGGTATGTGGACAAATAAATTGTCAGTTCATCACAAAAACTATCAACACAGTTCTTTTGAGCGTGTTTGCAACCTTAATAGAGGAAAAGAGGGATAAGAGCTTTTAATCAAACATTCAGACAGCACTCAGGAATCCTCTACATGGTGGATGTTCTTCTACGGACACCACAGGATTCTTCAGCCTGCTCCTCAGAAGTGAAAGCTGGCCAGCTGCATGTCCGAGCTTTGTCTCTGCACTCAGTTTTACACAACCTGGAGCTCCACCAAACACACGAAATGTCTGGTCAGTGAAAGGTCACTGAAAGGTAGTAAAACTGTTATCGTGACCTAATGCAACACTTCTCCATTCAAGACCCAATCCTCGTGTAAGTTACAGCTGGATAACGGGATGATGTATATGACCTGAGTGAAAGACATTAGCATAGCTGTCAAAGTACATATCGAGCAGTCACCTTAAAAAATGTGGCTCGATGGTTCCCTGATTATCC